GGGCGCGCTACGCGCGCGCGCGCTGCACGCGCGCTAAAAAGGTTTTTTATTTATTAATAAGTTGCCACCGGAGAGGGCGCGCCCGGCTCTCATTTTTGTTCGTTGCTGCACAAGCGCGTTTTATGTGGAGAGCCGAGACATGTCAACAAACGGCTTAAATGTGGCTCTATTCAGGTTGTTGGTCTTTGCTGTACTTGTGAGCAACGAAAATAAATTACAACCGGATTTCAAACCTTTCACAAGCATTTTTTCTGATTGGATTCCGTCGGTGCGCCGGTCATGCTCCACTGTTTCAACAAGCTTCTAAACACGATAAAGAGCCATCAGGGTTTAAGACTCCACTCTCATCAAAAGCACAAATGGAGTTTTGTGCGCGAAAATTTTCAACACGCAGATTAAACCTGGGTTCCGACTCCAGTCCGCATGCGTTCAAGTCGCCACAGAGCGTTTTCGTCACAGTTTTGAAGCAATCTTTCCAAACACATTCTCATTTTTTTGCATTTGCTTTTTTTGAGAGTTCGTGTTTGGCATGTTTATCACAAATGCACAGTTTTGTGGCCCCTGTCAAGACTTGCTATTCAAGTGCTGCTACCAAGTAGTCACACAATTGATTCAACAAATCGCACTGAGATCTCCTTTGCTGCTCCAAACCAGAACTGCTGTCTGCTCTGACTCTGCAAGAAGCGCAAGCTCAAATCAAGAACAATCCATCATGGCAAAAGCGCCCTTGGATCTTTTCGTCATCTCCGGTTTTTACATCACATTTCAAAGTTTGTCCGTTTGAATTGTACACACGAGCTATTTTCCTTTGTGCTACATGTTCACAGAATGGTTGACATGGCCCTGCGACGTGTTGATCACTATCTCTTTATTTGCAGTATGATTGTGGTCTCCACGTTCCAAATAATTTACACAACATGTTTGCAGGATCGCAGTGCACGTTCCCGCTTAAATCATGTTTGCTTAAATTGTTTGCCAGTGTACATTAACCGAGTTTTCCGGGAGCAGACCACCTTGGAAAGCTATTGATTACAAGTCCCGCGCCAGCACAAGGTTTCAATCGTTATTCAACAAAAATGTTTGCCGTCGGACTTTGCGTACGTCTTTGGGTCATCCTTGGCAGCAATCTCAGGTTCGGTTGGGAACGCTTGATGCTTTTGTTGTAAACCATCGGTGGTGCCGCTCATCTGTGCAGCTGTTCCAGGCCAAATGTTGCATATTCAGAAGCTCATGTAAGCATTTGGCTTCGAGTGGGATCATCAGTGAATGGTCAATACTTGTGGCATTAGTATCTTTGCATGTGTTCGAGAACGAAGCCGGCAGATACTTGCATTGAGTTAAATGCAACAGTGCAAAGTTTGGATGCATGCGGCGACATCATACATGTTGTGATCAGTGCCTGCTGCATGAATTCGTAATTGGACACGCGAGCTGCAATGCTGTTGCTTGAGCTCGCGCCTCAGATACCAGAGTTTGAGTCCATTTTTGGTGGTCTGTAGCAAACTTCTTCTGGAAGTTTCTCTCCAGTCTCTGCGGAGTCATGCTTGTAATAGTCGAGTTGCCACATGCTGAAGCACACCCGACGACCAGGAGCACGATTTTCCAGTTGATACCAGTAAGCTGTGAAGCCACAATGTTTATGTTGATGGTGTGCTTTCACGACATTGAAGGCGTGACCCTTTGGTGTCGGAGCTTTCGCAAGAGCGCGCGGCGCTGGGCTTGTGGCAGACTGAGAAGGGATATCGTCACTTCCTGTCATTTGCCTTCTGCATTGAGGAATACTGTCGGCTTTATGCTTTGTGGTGTTCTGTCGCACAGGCTTGGGCCTAGACGAGCCACATTGAAGCTTTGGGTGGCGGTCGTGGTTTGATGCTCAGAAGCATGGCTCGACACGTCAAACGGGGTGTTGGTGCAGTTGCTTTTACCCCAAGGTCAGCTGCCAAGCTTTTCTAAGGGTTCGATGCGGTTTGCATGTATTGTGTGGGGCTTGGCCGACTGTCTTTTGCCTTCCGCTCATGGCGTATGCTCAGGCACTGGTGGTCCACGCCTAAGAGAGTCGGGGTTTGTGTCAGGTGTTTTGAGGCTTGTGTTGGAGATATTGGTTTCGCCAGACAGTCATGCCAACCAGTCAAGTATGTGGAGGCTCTCCTTACTTCCTCGCTCCTTCCTTCAATCGCATGTCTACACTTCGCGAAGTTGTCAAGTATCTTTCCCAAGCGTGTGTGCGGTTCTCAGCACTTCGACCGTGGGGCCGCGACAGTGGCGGCGATGGATGCTGCTTCCTCAGCTCATTTGCCGACTCTGCAACTTGTGGGTAGGTGCCGTAGGGTTAGGTGCAAGTCAAGTGGTGCTGTTGGCCATGAACTTCAATCGATCGGTGACCTTCAGAAGCAATTGAAAGGTTTCCAATTGGGGCAATGCTGACTCTCACGGTGCATCCTTCGGACATGCTGTCGGCAGCCTACGAGTTGGCGCAGATGCGCTGTCCTTTCGCAGACCTGCACGATCTGGGGATGCCCAGAATCCCGGCACTGCTGGCAGTGATTTCCTCTTTGAGGTAGTCTTACTCGCCTGGCACTCCATTGGATTGGCAGTCGGCAACAGCTTGGCCGGCTCCTTCTTCCAACAGGCGTCGTGCTCGAGGGGCTCAGCATACAGTCTGCAGTCAGTATTTCAAGATGGCGCACTCCATGAAGGTTGTATTAACCTTCGCAGGCATCGGCAAAAGCAATGCTGCTCATGGGTCTGACGGCGAGTCTAACCTTCTCTCTGGCATTCGGCCTGCAGGAGATTTCAGGGAACTTTGAGACTGGCGAAGTGGTTCTCTTGCATCGCAGGAGAGCCCAGGAGTAGTCATCACGGCGGCCGGGACCTCGCAGCTTCGCCAAGAGCCGCAGCACAGCCGTGCAAGTTGTAGCTTTCCCCGTAGAGTCACAGCCCAGTTCGTTGGTGGCTTGAGGTCCTCCGTTTGGGGTCTGGAGTCGCTGCAGCGCGCAGCAGCCCGGTTTGAGATTTGCCGCTGTGGTTTTTTCTGTTGGGGCTCCTGGTTTACATGCTGGGTATACGCCGGGTAAGGTCTCCTGAGTATCTGTGGATTTTCGAGCCCAACTGATGCCGTGATATTCAGCCAGGCTGCCACTTGTTTACCTGCCATTCTGGGCCCGGGTCTTGGGCCTGTGCATCGATTGTTGTCCAACACAACATCTATGCTTGTTGTGAGGTGGATGAGTTCTCTCCGCCAGAAGGGCATGGCCAATGGATGTCCATCGTACAGACGGGCGTCCCAATTGGGCAGGCAGCGCAAGCGTCGCATACGTACGAAATTTCTCGGGCCTGCCCACACCCCAGTTCTGTGGTGTCCTCGCGGGCGCGGTGGCAGAAGATCAGCGAAGCTGGCGAAATGCTCTGCTGGGCCAGGCACGACCTGTGGGGAGTGTCGGGGCCACTGACATGTCGGTGTCATTTCTCTGTCAAAGCGTCAACGGTGTCACGGACATGTCGTGACACAAAAAGGGTTTTCGGATGTCGTCTGAGCCAGCTCTTGGAGGCTGCTCTACTTTTTCTTGCCGATGACCCGGAGTGATGCAGCAGTTCCCGTCGGTCGGGCTTGCTTGAATTTGTAGTTATCGTAGTTGTCCTGAGCCGGAAACTAAGCCACAAGATCAGACATGGGTGACACCAAGTTGTTTTTGGTGAGGTGCTACTGCGATTGGCGATCATTCCCGCGCAGCAGGTAGCGCTTGTGCACTGGGAGTTTCTTCTGCCAACCCATGTCTAATCGCTCGCACTCTATACTTCATACGCTCGCACTAGCGATTGGGACTTGCCATTCGAGCATGAGAACGAAGAGCATGAAGCGCATGAAGCACAAGAGCCGTGTCACAGTGTCGGCAGATTGACGCGGCCAATCAGTCGCTGACCGCCCGGCTCAGCGCTCGGTGAGCCACAGGGAAGGACGCATCCAAAACATCACTGTCTCCGTGTACAAATCGTACAACACATCTAGAACCGTTGCCTCCGAATAGTGGGTCATACTGAGACTGCCTGGCAGCTGCGGTTAAACCTCAGGCACAGACTTCCGCAGTGCAGGGCACTCTGGTCGTGGTCGTGTTGCAGCAATCAACCTCTCTAATTTGTATTCCGTGCAAGTAACTGCCAAGCTAGTCTACGTAGACAGGACAAATTCCAGGTTCCCCAATTCGAGCATGAAATAAGGTTACCCTAATCTGCATGAAGATATGAGCTTCATTGAATTAAACTGAAGAACTGAAGTGAGTTCTCGACTAGTCGCTCTGAGCTTGGTCTATCAGGCTTAGATGCTTTGATGTCAGGCGCATCCGAGGGATAAGTAATATATAGTCTTCAGCACGATGTGCTTGTCAGAGCAAGCGGCTCTTCAATGCAAGTGGGAGAAGAAGCAGATCTGAAAGATGTGTTGACAGTTTCGGGAGCAAGGGCAGCACCAGAAAAGAAGAGCCAATGGACCACCTCCCATGAGCTTCGAGTGCAAGACTGTTTCAGTACGGTGGCCGTGGGGACACGAGATACGTCAGAGCACAGCCGAGCTTGAGGTTGGATTCTTTGGCTTTGCACTCGCCGGATGCACAGCTCGGGCCCGGTACCTGATTTCGGGGCAGGACTTTTGTGAGACTTGCACCGGGTTCGTTCACAGTAGCAAGATGCAGAACCCATGTCTTGGCCTTAGGCGATTGCAAAACCTAGTGCGGGAACTGCGAGAGATGCTTCAAGGCTCCGGTGCTTGTCACAACTTCGAAGCAGATGAAATGGACCCTGGTCCCGTTTGCAGACTGAGAACGGTGAGGTGTGAACAGGAATCCTTTGACCCTGTCACTCTCGAGCGTGTCAGGAGCTAAGCATGCGCGAGAGCTGAGACGCACTTTACCTAGGAATTGTCGCATAGCTTCGCTCTTTCAAGGCTCTGCCTTCTCCACGCTACGGGGGCGGGGCTGGCTCTCTGGACAGCCCCGTGGCTTTGCAGCACTTAAGAGGGCCCGTCCGAGCGCCTGAAATGCCCTTAGCTCGTGCGGTGGTCAGGTATCTTGCACTTAGCGATGGGGCGCCCTCGCCCCTGGCTGCCAGCTTGGCTTTTAGTGCGGACAGGTGAGGGGAAGTTGTGCCGAAATCTGTTGGGTCCAAGGTGTCCTTGATGTTGGCTGCCTTAATCTTATCGTGCTGCCCCGCCGCTGGAACGACCCATCGGCATGATTTGTGCATTGCTGTTGCCATGGGTAACGAGGTGAGGGCTTCTGCACTTCAAGCGTCCCAGTGTGACCCAGCCTTTTCAGTGCTTCTTTTGGCAGCTACGTTGGGGCAATCGCCTGCTATCGAATGGATGGCTTTAAGGCCAGCTGCTCAGTGCATTGTGTGAAATGTGATAGGCATCTTGAGTTGACGATTGACAGGCTGGAATGCATGCGGTGCGGATCTTAATGTCTTCACGCCACTGCTCAGCAGCTGCTGGGGTCTCTGAGGGGTTCCAAGAACACGTTTTAATTTCTGGACAGTTCCTTGTCTATCGGATCCGCCGCCGAGGCATTTGACCAATCAAGCAAACTTGCCTGTGGTACCTTCATGCCGGTATCCCATAGTGAACACAGGTTGCTGTTCTGCCGAGGTGGCCCTTCGTGTTGCCTGCGCATTTGCTGCGCTGGCGGCGCTCTGCGCTCCACTAAACAGCGCCTGGACGTTGGTAGGTCAGAGGTTGCAGAGTGGTGTCCGGATTGTTAAGGGAGATCTCCGGCATGCTGAGTTGCAGCTGCATGGATATCCGCACTCTGTCTCCCTCTAGGCCCCGTGGAAGGATCAGGCCTTTGGAAATGCAAAGAAGCGTTCATTATCGTGCGCTCAGGTGCATCTTCAAGCTTCATCCTGCGTCTCTTTCTGGTGGCATGTTGGCTTTTCAGTGCAGGCCGACTGCGACTGGATGCGTGTTTTTTGTGGTACTGTCGTAAACGGAGATTCGAGTTCACAGGTGCTTTGCTGCCAATTTCGGCGGGCCTGCTAATGACCTCCATGCCATCGCAGAGGGCTTATCTGACTGGAAGGACTGTCATGAGTTCAGCTATGTAGGCGAAAACTATGGACAGCGGACACAACATGACACATCTTGCAAGCACCAGAGCTTCAGAAAAGAGATGTCCCACAGATGATCCTTGGACGAGGTACCTTAGATCCTTCTCGTCGGCATCTACAGTTCTCGCCAGGGGCTCGCACCAACTTGACAATTGTGCTCAGATGCGATGCTTCCATGTATGCTGTCTGCAATACTATGCCCGAATGCCACGCTTCAACTTTGCCCGCAACAACTCGGTCAGGGACTGTTGGAAGTTGGTGGATGTAGTTGAGACAGATGCGCAGCTTTCGACCCATCTGCAGATGAGTGGCAGGTATCTTTGGCCCGTCTGCATCTGTGCTTGCATGTATGTGTGCATGTGTATGTGTTCGTGCATGTGTTCGTGTATGTTCACTTGTATGTATGTATGTATGTATGTATGCATGCATGCATGCATGTATGTACGTGTGTATGGTGGAAGTTACAAACGAGCACCAGCACCAGCACCGGCATCTGGTGTCTGTGTTGCCCTCACGGTTATGCGGTCAGCAGGACTGACGTGTATATGTGATAGCATCTTTCTTTCATTTGGCGATCAGGCTTCAGCTGCCGTCATCAAAGCCAACATAGCACAATGTCAGACAAGTTGCACAGGCTGTGACTTTTCTCTTTCAATGCATGTTTGCTTGATCAGGTTCTGCACGTTGTTAGCTTCTCTGTACTTCACTCAGCATTTATTCAGTGTTGCAGTCATTCAGCTGTTCTGTCTCGAGGTGCCTGTCCAGCCTCTGACAACATGTTGTCTGATGAGGTGATGCCAGGTGTTGCTGCAGTGCTCATGGGCAGCTGCCTTAAACTTCGTCGCTGTCCGTTGTTATTGGTTTTGACATGCTCGTGGCTGCTCTGCAGTGTCTGGTTTCGAGGCTGCTTCATACGCCCTGAAAAGGCCAGCTCTGCTGCCAGATCCGCGGGGACTACATTGGCTTTTCAGGAATCCACGAAGATGCAACTGGTATAGCCGTGCAAAACCCATGTCCTTGGCAGCGCTTCAGGCTCAGGAGGAATCCCTCACTGTACAGTTTAGTGATGGTGTTTTGCTGTCAGCTGTCATCGCCTAAGACGGAAAGTTGCACCATTCTTCGTCCGCACAAGCCCATTGGACGACAAGAATACCTGCAGCTGACGATCTCGGACGTCGACTCCTATGAACAAGGCCGTGGGATCAGGAAATTTGAAGCTCAAGGTTGAACGGAGTCAGTAGTTGCGGGAGGGGCTGGTTGTTGTGCTGACTGAGTTTTCAATAGAACTGGGATATGTTAGCTTGGCATTCCACCCATGTCCCAAATCAAGACTGAAGGTACGAGTATCAGATCGGACATCACAGGGCCGTCCGGATCCTTCTGCTGTTGCTTAAAGGTTTATCCGAAAGGGACCGCGGGTACGGAACGCTCCGTGTCAAATGCATTGGCAGCATTTGTGGAAATCATTCCTCCGCCTTCCATGAAAGAGTCGAGCTGGGTGTGCAAAGATGTCGAGTACGGCATCGCAGTCCGCAGAAACGTTGAGAGCCATACTGCGGAACTTTCCAGATCGGATACTTTCAGCTTTGACCGGGATCATGAAGACCGGGGCTGGCATGACATCATCCGCTGGAATGACAACAAATGGACTGCGACCAGCAGCATCAGTATTTGTGCGGAGGTCAGAGGCCTTCCTGTGGCAGATGCGCTGATCTCCGACTTGCAAAGGGTATCTTTCGAAGATGAGCTGCAGCCTGTGTCTTTTCGCCTGTCCGGCTGCACACTCTTTTTTGATCAACGACTGCTTGTGGCCAGGTCAGACTACTTTCGTGAGATGTTTGCACAGTCACAGTGGGTAGAGGGTCAGACCAAAGAGGTGGATCTTCGCTCAGATCCACTGGCATCAAAAGCAGCGATGAGCGCAATACTGCGCTATATCGTCTCGGGCTCCTTCCATGCCGATGGAGACGTGGATTTGGCATTTGCGGTGCGTTTCCTGGCAGACAGGTACTGCTTGAAGGAGCTCGTTCAGCTGGCCGAGTCTGAGTTGCTCGCAATGCTTTTCCCGGAAAACGCCTTGAGCTTCTTGGGACGTTTGAGTGCTTTAAAGAGCTCCAATTGTCTGGAGCTGGCATGCTGGAAGATGATCCAAGCCGATGGATGCAAGTTGCTGGAGCAGCAGCACCATCAGCTTAGCCAGCTCATCGAGGAAAACCCGACAGTGGCCAAGCAGCTCATCCTCCTGAATGTCAGAAGCAAGAAGCGTCCACGTGAGTGATTTGCATCGTTTGATTTCCACTGCAACTCTGCCTTGCCTCTTGCTTTGCAGGCCACATGTTCTGGGGTTGGGGATGTGCTCCGCTGAGCTATGCGACAGAAAAGGTTTTGATACCACCAACTCAGGTGGTTGTGTTGCGGGTGTTTGAGTATCACCGATCCAGAATTATTGCAGCCAGAGGTGGATGTTTGTCGTTCAGCCTCATCAAAGGAGAGGCCTTTGAGCCATCTTTGCAGGACCCCCCACCTCCAACATGTGTCATGCCAGCCTCCACTAAAGATCGAAAGGTAGAGAACACCTGGGTTTGGGGTTTACAGGGCTCCGGGTTTAGGCTTTGCTTCCGGAGGCATGGCTCCGAGGCCTCGGCACCCTGGCCCCTGGTCTAGTTTCGTGTTTCATGGCCCGAGACTCCTCAGCCCTCCTGCCCAGACCCATTTGGACCCTAGACTTCAGGCCCAGCCCTAGATCCTCCAGGCCCTAGACTCTAGACCCCATACACTGCCTCCGGCCCGTCCGTTTGCTGCTTCCCGTCACAACTTGGTGCTTGCATGTCGCGTCTATGCCTTCCTGCTCTGGTGAGCCTTGCGTTTTGCAGGGCCTCAGCTTTGGTGTTGGCCTGATGCTTTGGGCAACCCTCCCAGCAGCTGCTTGGCGGAGCTTTGCGGCCTTGCCCGTTTACATGCAATTCAGCATGTCCAATCATGCGGCTGAGCCCGATCTAGATGCTGCCCCAAAGACGCAAGAGCCAGAGCAGTGGGACTTTCAGCCTCCCTGAGGCAATCTTGCTGCTCTTCGCGTATGCGCGAGAGCCCAAGGCCGAGAAGCCCAGTAGCCCAGAGGTCGCTGCGCGAGATCTGCGCGAGATCTGAAGCAGAAATCGCCTTTCACTCATTCCAAATGAGCATGATCGAGAAGGAACCTGCATCGCGCAGAGGGTGTTTTCATTTTCTGTCAGTTTCTGTAGATCGACTGGGTCCTCTTTTTTGCATCCTACAGTTTTAGGGAAGGCAGCATATCCAAATTGTCAGATTCGAATACGAGCTTTGGAGCACGGTCTCCCAGGGGCGCGACCGTCTTTTCGGCCCGCCCTACTGGCTTGCAATCCCTAAACACAGCGAGTATCCAAACCTGGGCAGGGCTCGGGTCCTGCTGGCAGCCTGTCGGGCGTGGATGCCTGGAGCTCGGCCATGTTAGAGTTTCCAGATTCTGCTGCGCATCTGCAGAAAGATGAAGACGGGGCTCATATGGGGTGCCTAGCCGTGTTCCTGCGTTCATCAGTATGATCAGAAGAAGACGTTGCTGACATCGGCAGTCGGACACAACCGCAGACCTAGGACTTGACCTTTAGCGACATCAGCTACGAGCTGGCACGCAGGCTTCGGAGATCCGGCGCCGGGTTTGCCGATGATGCTGCTAGTGCATGCGGTGGCAGTTGCATAAATTGAAGCCTCAGCAATATCGTCGCTAATGCCAAGCTGGGAGGCGAATGAGCACCTCGCCTCTTTGAGCCCGAGTCTTTAGACCTCGAAAGAGGTGTGCAGCTTTAAAAAAGTTGTTTCAAGCCATTGCGGTGTTTCGCAGATCTCGGCAGGTTGTCACTCTGACAGAGAGGACAGATGATTGCAAATTGAGTGCGGCCGCAGCCATTTCGGCCCATTAGATCCCGAGCACGACAGATACCTGCTTGGGACCAGAGGTGCAGTTCGTCATGGGAAACGCTTGCTCCGATGGTTGCTTTGGCATGTGCTGGCCTTGGGTGAGAGAACCTGACGGAGAGGTGGCACTGGCCTCCGGCCCTTTCCCTGTAAGGTTGGCCAGCAAAAAGGTCTCCCAGCTGCGAGCCTGCAAGCAGGATTGCGGCTCTCCTTGCGCCTGATAAAAGCTTCTTGCAGCGTAGAACGAAGTTACTAGGCTTCGAGAAAGGAGACCTGCTATGAGCGAGAGACTTACCAGCCGAGTGCTGCAACAACATAAATGTAGCTGTCACGATGTTTGATTCCTTCCGTACTCTGTGCTTGGGACTCAGCGCAGCGACCGGTGCTGCAACGGACGATCTGATTGCGTCGCTCCTATTATGCCTTCTGCCCACGCTTTTGCCCCGCCTGCTTCGCTTGCTTTCAGACGCATGCAGCAACGGTTGTGAAAGGACGGAGTGCCGAAGACCTCTTAGCATGTGCTGCAGTCTCGCGTCCGAGGAAGGCTGAAATAATACAAGGCTGTACAGCCGGTACGGTCCTGTGCGACAGACTAGTTTTGCAGGTGGGGCGGCGTGTCGCGAAAATTCTGGATAACAAAGATGCTCAGAACGGTTACAAGGCTCTGTCAGCGAAGCTTCATCCCTATGAGCTGTTGTCAAGCAGCTGTCATCGCTGTCGTTTCGGCAATTTGGCGATCGACAGAGCGGCCTGCAAGGGTGCAAACTGATATTTGGCGTGACGATTTTTTGTTGAGCCATCTGAAGTGTTTTTGGTGTTAGTGCGCTCTTCGCGGGTGCGTTGCGCAGGATCTCAAGAAGTTCATCGACAGCAAAAACTGTCACCCGAAACTTGGCAAGACGGCGTAAAGTGTGTTGCCCGTCATCTCCTAAAACGGCACAATTGTCGTCATTGTTCCTTCCATTAGGATTATGGTACGCTTGGCGTGGCATGTCTGGCCGGCATGTTTGTCAGTCGGGTGGGTCGATGCCCAGCTTTGGCCATTTTGCTTCTTCGTTGTGCCAGGACTCTGGCACCTATGATCAGTCCGAGACTCGAAATGCGGGCCGAAGTGCTTCTCACGCTTTTTGGACAAAGCCTCGATCATCTCATGCTGCTTGTAGTGAGGACTAATGGCTGCTCTCTTGAATGTCCGACTGAAGTCTGTTCTTACATGCTTCCAGGCGTATCAAGAACTTCCCTGAGCGGGGTGGCGCCAATGGTTGTCGCCTCATGTGTCATCACATGTTGTTGGTGCGAAATGTTTTCCTGTAAGATGCGAAGTCATTGTTGGACTTTCAACCGGGCAGATACGGTTTGCATCAAGGTGCAATCAGATTTGCGGGTGAGATGAACTTCGGCGCGGATCTGAAATTTGATTGTTCAGTCCAAGTTCTGCAGAAGCCCAAGTGCAGTCTAGTCTCTCTCTGGTCTGCCAGGGAAACGTGCAGTAATACCTAATACCAGCAGGTTTACTGTTCCCGGATGAGTTGGTGCCCTGACATTCGTCAGGTGCCAACGCCGGCCTGGACAAAGCAAAAGGCGAGGAAGAGGGGTTGTTGCAAGTCAGAAAGTGTCAGTTGGACTGGGTTTTGACTTGATGCTCCTCGGCTTTTGTATTTTATGCTGTCCACCCCACGTTTTCATTTCGTAGCTATATGGTCGGCTTTCTTAGGCTTATGGTTTCTCTCTTTGTGCTTGTGGCTTCTTATTTGTATATGCTGTTTCAGCTGTTATGGCTGTGGGCTTCGAACCCGGCTTTGCTTTAAATTTAATGCTGGGGATTCCTGTGGGGACTGGACGTTGAGAGCTGTAACAAAGGGACCCCCCATCACTAGTGAAAACAGCAACACCCGAAATCCGCACTTCCTGTTTCTTCGGACCTGACTTCTTTGTGCTGACTACCGTCTTGGTTTACGCTCCGTGGCCCTACGCTTGGCCATCACGGGCAAAGAGGCCTCCTCCCCCCCAGCATAAAAAACAGCGAAGTCAGGTCTGGTTCGTCATGAAGAGGAAAACTCCAGCATGAACAAAAGCAGGTCCATGATAACAAGGAACCCTCAGCATGGCCAGCAGAACAGCAGCAAAAGGTGCAGGACTATCTGCACAGGCTCTCTGGCAAGATAAAGGTACTGACGCGAGTGTCACCTCACACGCAGATCCCTTCCAAACTGGATTCCAAGCGTAGAAAGCCGGAGCAGGCTGGAAAGTAACCTTCAGAAACTCCGAGCTCTTTCGTGAGTCTGGTCTGTGAAGGCTTCCTCGATGAATTTGCTAAGAAGTATCCCGAAGCACTGTCCTCGGGCCGGATTGCCGCATGCAGTGCACTATGTCACTATGGGACATCATTGCACGGTGCCGATCTCGATCTTCTGAGCTTGCGCAGTGGCACTCTTGCCTAGATTTCCTGGGCCGATCTGATCCAGCTGGCGTCGTCGTCTCAGCACTGAGCAGTCACAAGCCTATACACCTTCTTGAAAGCGTCTTTGAATCAATGGGAGTGCATAGTGTGCATACAGCAAGTCTGCCGTTGCCATCGAGTGTGCTGGTGGCCCTGCCATTGACATGAAGTGCGCCGGAATCGTCCCCACCCTGCACTACCGTCCACCGTGCACATGCAGTTGTATGATGCTGTAGTGAAAATTATGGAAAGCTCAACTTCACTGCAGAAGACGAGAATCCGAAAGACGCTGATCGTGTCCATGCTGGCCCCAGATATTGGCGCCCATGAGACTCTGCTCTCCTGTGTGGCCGTGATGGCGTCCAGTAGGTAACTGAGTGCCATGAGACATGCTTGACTTGGCTGCAGATTCTTGCAGCTCGTAACACTTTTGATAGGATATGAAAGTGATTGCAGGTACGGACGCGTGGCAGTGACGTCTGACAGCGAGTGTGTCAAGTCAGCATCCAGGGAGGCCACTGTGGTTTCTTCGTTCTTCTACTGCACTTTGCACAGTGTCCAAGCTATCTCTGCTGCAGGGCTTCTCGGGCAACGCGGGACTTCCGGATGCCGAGCCTCCTTTTGGCTGCGGGGCAGGGTGACCCGGGCATCAGCAACGGATGCCGACGGGCGTGGGAAAGAGAGCAGGCACCCACCGCGGCGCAGCATCTTCGGAATGTTTTCACGAAGAAGATGGGCCGGCGGCTCAGCCACAGCATGGGAGGGTGGCAGCCGAACATCCGTGTTCGGTCAGACGAAAACCGGTGTGAAAAAGGATGGACAAAGCGCGACCTTGCGAGATCCTCCTAGGTTTCACGGATCAGGAGATCGTGGCGCTCTCCGGTGCCCACACCATCGGCCGCGCCTTCAAGGACACGTCGCTCGTGCTTCGCCCGCCTCGACAAGATAAACTCTGCAGGGTGCAGCATGCAGCAGGAGCGCAGCGGGGCTTGCCCTTTCGGCTATGGTGAGCAGGTTGCGAGACTGCCAAAGTGGCATCTTTCTGAAAGCATGGTAAATTGGCGAGGCAGCTTCGAAGTACACCAAAGGCGACTGCATAGTGCGCAAGGACCTTCCGGGAAGACAGACGAAGAAATAGCAAGTTTCAGTTCCACAGCACGCAATTTGATTTCTTCAGAGCACATACCACACGGTCTCAGCCTGTCTCAGCCTTCATGTCTCGTTCGAGAAGAACTCAAGCACCTGCCAGCTTCTTCCAAACAATGTCACCGTGTCACACAGGATGGGAGCAAAGGCGTTGGAATCGTGGCATCGTTTAAAGCAGTCATGAGGACTGGTCTTCTGGCGCAAACAGTTTCCTGAAAATCACAGTTCATGCAAGGAATGGTTGGTGGTGCTTCTTGGACCAAGAACTGGCTGACCTTTGACAACAGACAGCCAGCCATGTTTGACCAGACAGCGAACTTCGCAGAAGCTCACGATGTCACGGCCAGGTTACTTCAAGGACTACAAGCTGTCCTACGAGGACTTCAGCTTGCAAAAAACATGAGGTTTCGGTTTTCATGTTGGTGAGCTATACAAAGTCTGTGCCAGGTTTGGGTGTTGTCAAAGGTCTTGCAGCCACATCAACGCTTTGGTAGGTTGGTACATCACGGATTGTACGGGCAATGCAGGAAAACGGCTCCAGGACAGAGCCAGATATTCTATCGTTTCCGTCTCTCTGTTCTGGGTTCCGCGCTGTTTCAGTTGCTTTCCGCCAGGCGGCTCGCTATGAGGTTCATGAATCCAATGGACGTTGAAGCATCGTCTGCATGCCCCGAACATCATGGAATACTGGAATACGGAATACATATCATTTCTGCATATCATAAGCAAGCAATCTCGGATCAGCACAAGCAGCATGTTGTGCCGGGTGAGGGCTAGTCATCATGGGCCCCGCATTGATTGCCAGTGGGCTCAGGCATGCTTGTGTTGCCTTAAGCCTCGGTAGCTGAGATTTCCCGAACAGTGTAGCAAAATTGGGGTTCTTACGCTAGGAGCGAAGGGTGTTGGTTACAGGAACCGCGAGGCATGTGCTCGTCCTTTTTACAGTCCAGCTCGCTCCCCGTCCGTCGGGGAGGCCGACCTGACCGCATAATACGATTCTGTTGCTGCAACTTGATCACTCGAGGGACCACCACAGCGGTGTATGTATCTTTATTCTGTTGTGGAAAGCATGCTCCCGCCTCAACCCCGTAGTAGTGCGAGGATGACAGCCTCCTTTGGTTCAAAACCGACGAGGCTCGCTGCTGCAGCCAGCGAGAGAGATGAGTTCTGATGGCAGCAAAGCAGTGGTGTAGGAAATGCTGTTTGACTGCGCCAAGCAAGAAGATCCCTGGCTTGTTTTTGCAAGGCTCTGCACACAGATCCTGAGTTCAAGAAATACTTCGATCTCTACGCGAAGGCCTTTCGCTTGATGTGCAAGTCGGAAGCGGGGATGGAGACCGCAAAAGACCGGGCAAGCTGCTTTTGATGCCATTGCGCAGGACCAAGATGCCTTCTTCAAGGACTACGCCAAGGCGAGCAGGGATGTCAGCAGTCTCCAGTTCTCGGAGTTCGGAAGCCACAGAGCAACAGGCATTGCCCGGTGGGTGCAGCACCGGCATCCGTGCAAAGTGCAAAGCGTTCAGCAATCTCCGTTGCCAAGACACGTCCAGCATGTTCTTGGCCCGTCAGACTGGCAGCCTATCTTGAGACGGCTGTCCGTGCAAATGCCGTGTCAGGCCCACAAGAAGTTGAGCGAATTGGGTTCCAAGTTCGAGCCGGAGGGAGGCATTAAGATTTGAGACGCAGGGTTTCCTTTCGGAAGGAAGCAGACTGCGGGTGGGGGAGCTGGACCTCGCAGACTTTCCCTACCATCTGCAGTCAACCTGCTCTTTTGCATTACAAGCTGGCCTCTTCTTCCAAGCTAATCAGCAGCATCATCAGAAAAGTGTTGGACTAGAGTTGCTTCTCTGATGAGACTTTGCGCATCTACGTTGTCTGAGATGCTTCTGCTTTGAAGAAGACTGGCAGGCTGCTAGTTTTCATCATCTGCCTCACTTAAGACGATGCGCTACGCCAGCTCGGCATGGACGGACGGCAGACACAGGAGGGGACCAGCCCGTGAACACCTGAATACCTGTGCTGATGCACTTCGCCGTCTTTGCGTTGCTATGTGAGTTCCAGCCACTTCCGCCTCTGAAATGGACGGAACCTATCCTTTTCATCTGGATCCTGGCTCAAAGCTGTGTTTGAACCATGACGCCTATACTCGAGATCGAACTTCCGTGAACCCTCTGGAGCAGTTCAGGTGGCCCCTGCATTTTTCGGGATCGAGAGCCAGCAGGATCTCAAGCCATGGCCGAACCTAACTCAGCTGCAGTGATCTGCTGCAGTTGCCAGGTGGATAGCAAACGATGAAAAGATGGCAATGGCAATGCTCGGCATGTTTGAAGCTTGCAGCTTGTATTTTGGGTTGGTGCGATGGGGCTGGTTCTCACAAGAACATGGATTGTTTTTGCTTTGCGTTCGAATCTGAGGGCTGTGATGTTGCAATGCTTCTCTGGTGGAGTTGCGAACCTGAAGCTCAGATGACCTCAGAAGCACGAGCAGCGAAAGTTGTCTAATGCCAGGTGCCTCGTGCTGCCACTGTTTCTGTTGAATCTTGGCAGAACCTTCTTGACTTCACGTACTGCCGCTGAAGAGTCAAGTGTGCATTGCAAATTGGTATAATGACAGTTGCTGCGGATTCCTTCAGCTGGAGCTCGATATTCCACCCCACCCCTCGCCTAGACGAGCAGAGAGCAGCCGAGCGAGCTTTGGTTCCAACGCCTGTATCAGGCAAGGCTCGAGAGCCCTCATCACCAGCTCGGCCATCAATGCTGGCTCAGGGAAGCGAAGCGAGGCGGAGTTGCTCAGGATTTGAGGGGAGCTGACTCCATGAACATACTGCCTCGTGGCGGCTTAGGGCCCAGGTTGTATGTTCCTGCCTCACTTGCGTCTTCCGGAAGCAATGGCCTTTCGCCAATGCTCAAGAGGGCCCAGTCCCGGTTGGGATGCCTCAAGTTTTGTGACTTCGTGATCAAGATCCCGGTTTGGAGCATTCAAGCGTCAAACTACAATCAGTCTGCGAGACTTTCTGTAGGGTAGATTCGTTGAGAGCTTGGACCTGAGGGCCCCCCACTCTGCGTGAAGAGTCTGCTCCCGACAACCTAAACTGGATGGCAGGCGCTGAGTGGTGTGGTCTCTAGCCTGTAGCCTGGCTGCATCTGCGGTCACGCTGAAACCGAAGATGGCCATGCGGATGTGACGTGTTTTCGTGGTCTGGGCAGAATCTGAGAATAAGTTTGCAGACCTAAGGATCGAGAGAGCGCGGGGTCGCAAGCCCCGGATCAATCGAAGACCAAGAGTACGTGATCTTGTCTCCGTGCTGCATGAAAGAAAGGGGTTGACAATGGTTGACAGACCATGCTATGCATTTCTTTTGTAGTGCCTGCAATTACACATTCTCGTTGGCGAGCGCGGAGCAAGAACAACGGGTTTCCACACAGGTTGCGTTTCTTTTGCTGTGCATTCGCACGGCTCTCCGTCCATTTTCGGTGCACCCGGAAAACGAAAGATACATACATATACATATAGCCTGAATAGAATATATAGACACATATGTAATATGTATCTGCATTTGCATATACCAATATATATATATATGTATACATATAGATAGAATAGATATCTTCCTGCCTCTTTACCTTGTGTGTATTTTCTTTCTGGAGTATGTAGAGTATGTGTATGTACACATATACATATAGATAGATAGATAGATAGATAGATAGGTAGGTTGATAGTTAGATAGATAGATAGATAGATAGATGGATAGATACTTAGATAGATAGATAGATAGATAGATAGACAAAGAGCATGTGTATATATATATATGTATAGATATGTATATATATATGTAGCGATTACGTATAAATAAGGAATATATAGATATATATATATATATACATACACATACATGCATATATGTCCATACATATATGTATATATATATATATATACATATATATATATGTATGTTTACAGATGGTTGTGAGCTGTGCGTTCCGCGCCGAAGCTGTAGAGCCAAGCGGTTCCACCAAGGGGGGAGGGGTGATGATCACGCGCAGAACCATTGGAAGAAGGCCTAAGCAAAGACCCCAACCATTCCACATGCAAGCTCAACCAAGCCGTTCCACAAAAGGGGAGGGGGAAGTGACCAAATGGGGAGATACCATTGGTGGGGAGGGGGGGAAGGGGGAGCCCGCCGGAGGGCAACCATGTGTGTGTGTGTATATATATATGAGCACGTGTACATATATATTTCATTTTTTTACCGTATGTATGTGTATATATATATACACATGTATGTAAACTAGTGTTTTTTATAGTGTTTTTATAGTGTGGTTCATATAGTGTACTTATGTATAAATATATATGTAGATACAGGAAATCAGGCATGCATACATATATATATACCGTATATATAATCACATGAATCAGATGTATATCTATAGCAGATGCATATCTATAGCACACATGTACATACGTATATATATGTATATATATATATGTATATATAGGTATATATGTATATTCGTATATATGTGTGCATGTGTTGTGTAAATATATTTTGTCCAGCCAACGAAGATGTGTGTGTATATATATATGTATATATATATATATGGATATGGTGGACGCAAACGTCCATACATAGACTTGTATGGATTGCGAATATGATGCAGTGTTTATGTGTGTGGTGACATACAGATATAGATATAGGAACAGAAATAGATATCGACAGACATAGACAGAGATATGCATGGACAATACGTGTGTGTATACATACGTATATATACATATGCATAGATACATATGTGTATATACATAGGTATATATATATATGTCTGTATGTATATCTGTATATACATATGACATATGCATATATAGATATATGTATGTATGCTTGTTACACTTTGAATTCCGCTACTAGTAGGATGGTTCTTGAGATCCTGTCTCTATGCCAGGAAATCTTTACATGTTTTTGCTAGCGCATGGATTACTGTCGTGCGTTTCTGCTGTTT